TTCCTGCTTTCCACCTCTGTGTGTGCATGTAGAAAGAGTGAGGGGCCCTCTGAGCTAATTGGCACTGAGGGTGACAAAGGTGGTCTGCTTCAAAAGAGAAACCCTGGTGAGATGTCCACACAGGAGTGGAGGGGGAAGGGAGTTTAGGGGCTAGCAAAAGGGATAGCGGAGGGGCTTTTAGATGTGAAGTTTATTCCTTATGATGTTCCCAGCCTGAGCTGTGATCATGGTAGACGTTGCTCATTTTGAGGGTCCTGTATGCTGTTGTGATGGACCATTTTTATGAAGAATGTGAGAGCTGAGAGAAAGGGGGCTGAACGTGTTTGACGTGACCGTGGAAGTAAACACTGGATGAGAATGAGTAAATCGAATGCTGAGGAAAGCATCATGTCATACCTGTTACGGAGCGAGACTGACGCCAGCCCCACAGACTGTGAGTAAATGAGAAATTTAATGACAAACTTTGTTGGTTTCAACAGCAAACACACATTTCAAATGTGTTAAAGCTGTGCTTACCACTGCCCTAACATTAATGCATTGGAAAATACAAAGGCAGATATGTAATTAAATGTTTTCTCATATCTTTATTAGATTTATTGCAACATATATCTCCGACAAGTGTCAGTCAAGTGATCCCTGTCATAGAGTGAGCTGCAGTGAGTTGTTTGGCACACACGGTGAATGACAGGAAATGTTGAAATTCACCTTAGGTTAAAAAAACTCAAAGGTTTACAAAATACTGATTTGTTTATGTTATGGGGGGGGGTTCCCTTCAATCCCTAATTCTACTTAAATAAACACTGTTTGAGAATCCATATTTACAGATGGCTGGCTTATACAGTATATTCAGGTTATCATTCCAAGTTTTCTTTAAGTTAGACTAAAAACTTCATTTGTGTTGGTAAGTGATCAGTGTTTTCTGCATTAAAAGGACATAGTAACTGATAAACCAAGTCTCCATCCGATAAATTAATGAATTTATACACTAGTGGTTTACTTTCTGTGATGTTCATAATAGGTTTTAATACTGTCAGTCATCATTTTTACATGCATGTGTGTGCAGTGAATGTGGTGGCCATGCTCCATAACTTCTGGGAGCAGAAGCAGATGACTCTGCTAAATAGTTCTTGTGGTGTATCGGATGGTTCTGGTGAGGATGCAGCCAGCCAGACAGAGAGCCTGCTGTTGTACGAGTCTGCACCCTCCCCTGGTCCCCCATACATCTACTATGTCACCCTTCCTGGAGGAAGCTGCTTTGGCAACTATAAGGTGTCTTTGTCATCATTAGTCCCATCTAGCAACATGTCTATACGTGGTGGTAAATATAACTGCATTGCTATAATAACTTAGTGTACAGTTATCTTTAATGTGTTGCTTGAAGTATCACAAAAATGTGGTGAGCACCTGCTACTGACCATGAACACAGTAAAAGTCAGTATCTTTATGATACCTGATGCTGATGTTCTTTGAGAAAATCCCAACTATAAAATTACTGAGACCACATAAACTTTAGTATCAATTGCAAACAGCCCTCCGAATAAAGTTTTCTTACAAATCATGTTTCTGAACAAAGGTATTTGAATATGCACTGGGAGGTGCTTGCAAGTAACACTTGAAGGCCCCTGAGTTGGAAAAAGAGACATACAGTATATCAGTATATTTTGAATGGATGTCATTCAAAACCCATGATACCACTTAATGAGCTCATTGTGACCCAGACAACAGCTCCCAGATCAGAACAGACATGTGACTGGTTATCTGTGAATGCTGCTAATGTCTTAATCTCACTTGTGATTTGAGATATCATCCTATGATAAGATGTAAGTGTAAAATTATCAACATGTAACTAAGAGTGTGTTTGAAGTGATCACCTCTTTTTGCACTTGTCTTGACATTTTAACCCCTCATCATCTCCTCATCCTCAGGTGTGTGACACACTGGCGGAGGCTCGGAGGGATGCAGCTCGTGTGGCTCTGATGAACTCACTTGTGAACGAGCTGCCATGTCGACGCATCAACCCTCAGTTCATCACTCAGAGTTTACAGCAGGCAGCCAGTGACAGTGCTGTAAGCGTGAGCCAGTGCAAACACCCAGGACTGTACCTTCTTACAAGGCAGATTATATAAATAATACAAACAAAGAGTGTTGTCTCAACATGAATGTTGACCTGCACTGTTATCTCTGTAAAGGTCTCTATAGATGATGCATGTGACCCAAGCACCAGTATAGGAACCTACTGTTTGCTTCTCCACTCTTACATAGGAAGGACAATGTTGGAGTTCCAGGTAAAACATAGAACCAAATTCTGTTTTGCATGTAAAAGACTGTGTAAAAGATCTATTTACTAGTAATGTTTCAAAATGTATGAAATGCTTCTTTGCATTAACTTAAAAACTATCTTAAATAGTGTCTTTCTAATTGGACCCCAAAGCATTATCCTTTTACATAATGATAATAATAAAAAAAAAAATTAAGCCAAACACAACCAGAACCACCTGGTGGTAATTCCACTCTCTATTGTTATCATTACATCCCTAGTCTGTTGCCTATTTATTCCCATTCCATCTCATTTTCAGACACTGCCAGGGAGTCATAGTAAGAAATACCTAATAGTTCTACATTTGTTTAAATAAGCATATGCCTGCAGCCAGGGAGTTTCCAGTAAGTTAGATGGAGGCCCTCCAAGTACTAATATACACACCATGCATGTATACATGTACATGCACAAAAACTGAAATGTACGCACACGCATACAAAAACCTGCACACACAACACCAGCCACATGGTGCAGCTGTCAGTGCTTTGTATAATTTATACAGACAGACAGTCAGTGCAGAAGAACAAGAAGCAGAGAAGAACAACTAGGGCAAATGCACAGTTAGAAACAGTGTAAACATGCTGATAGATATAACACGGACTTCAACCCCAGACAACTTACGTGTCACATTTTCTATCTGTCTCATTAGGTCAGTTTCAAATCATGTACAGACTCTCTCTGCTTAACACAAATGTCATTTTTAACACTTGGCAGCTGTTCTGCCAGACAGTGTTTTACAAATCAGGGTGAAATGTACCTGGTGCATAAAGATTAACTATTTCTTTCCAAATGAATCATCCACAGTTTAAAGAAAAGTCAATGTTATCTCTGTCAGACCTATGCACACAGTTCTGGATGTTTGAGTTTGTTATTCAAGTCATTGGTCATATTGTAGAACTGTAGAAAATGTTCTCTCTGTATCCTTCTCACTTACTGTCTTCCCCTCTCTTTCTCTCTGTAGGAGATGATGACAGTGTTCCAGTTGTTGCACTGGAATGGGACACTGAAGGGTCTGAGGGAAAGCCAGTGCTCTCGACAGGTACACTTCTTGCTAAGGACATTTCTTATCTGTTTTCAGCATAATCACTGTCTCTGCCTCTATATACTGATGCCTGTTTTCTTCTTTCCTCACTCTCAGAGTGTGATTGCCTATTACTCTCAGCAAAGACTTGATGAATACATGCGCAGCAGCATGGCACTGGATTGGCTCGGACGGGAGCAGAGTTCACCAGGGCAGCTCGGGGAGGAGCTGCAGGTGGCACAGAGGGAGCTGGTGTTGGCCCGACGTCAAGGCATAGAGCTGCGCTTCTACAAGGAAAAGACCGAGATTCTCAGCTTGGCTCTGAGTCAGGCATACATTCACCACACACCTGCAGCCTTCAGCCAAACACTGAGTCACCCATATGAGCAAGAACAACTTCCTTTGCAAATATTATACAGCCAGGACACAGGAGTCCAGATGACTCCACCCTCCAGTCCTTCACCAACCCTCCATAGAAGCACAAAGCAAACAGCCTGTCAAAGCATTAGCCAACATGTGGAGACTTATGTGGCTTTAAATAACTTTGAATAGACTGAGGTAGAGGATGGATGATACAAATTGTCATTTGACAATGAATGAGCTGAAAGTCTCATGATGCAAGCAGAACATATGAAGTATGGTGTTCAAGTTTTCTGTAAGCATAAATTCTGTAACCACAACAGTTACAAATACTGTGTTAATTTCTGTTAATAATGCTCTAACCTTATTAACATTCTTTTATGACTATAGAACTAAGCCTTAAAGATGTGTAGTGTATTCCCTGTCTCCTTCTCTGTCTCACATGTTATCTGGCATGTCAGTTTCCTTAATGGAAATTACTTGGCATGGCCATTCATGATACTGGCAGACTGTGACATATTGAATGACATGTTGACTGGATGCTATGAAACAGAAAGTCTGTTATGAATGTGACACATTCATTTGATTATGTCAGAACGCAACTACATATAAAATTCAGTTTGGTTTGTTTGCATAAAGGATATTAGTGTATAATAAAGGAAGGTTGGTCAGGTCAACACTGCAGATAATAAGAACCAGTACTGTTCTGTGACAAAATGCATGCAGACCATGAGCATTTGATTCTCTACGGTTTGGTTAAAGATAGAGATTTAATACATTTTAAAGGGAAATATGGAGCTTATCACTGTAATATACTTTTGGTTTTGGATGACCAGCCTTTGCATTCATATGACCACTATCAGAAATGGTAGATTGCTTTTTAAAATGTAATCTATTACAGATTACATGCTTGAGAAATTACTAATTGTAATGTAATTAGGTTACTTTTGGATTTGGGTACCTTTCTTACATGATTAGTTTAACTGAAATTAGAGTGAACAATCATCATGACACCAGTTCCCAGTATGGGTTAGCTTTAAGGTTCCTTACCAACTGTGAACTGGAGAAGATTGGTTTCCAGTACTAAAAACTAACTAAAGTTAGAGACTGTAAATAAGTGACACCATCTGGTCTGGGACTTGTAAGTACTTGTTGTCAGATTTCTCTCACAAGACATTTTCTGTATAAATAAATCATAACTCAAAATCTACATCAGATTTGTCTCTAACATGATTTTGAATTCAAGCAGAAATCCCCACACCACACCTAACCCCCACTCACACCCTTACTTTATTTGTCACACTGACTATAAGACATCCACTATTAAAGTTAAAGTAGCCTAGTCCTTTACTCAGAATCACGTTTAGTATTTATTGACTTTACAACTTGTGCTTTGTGAGCTTATACACTGAGCAGTTAATAAGCGACCTTCATTTGAAACATTGCATGTTATATAGTTTGGAGTAGGTTGCCACTTTCTGCTTTAGCAACGTTTGTGAATAGTTTATAAGTTGTAATTAACGGATGGCTTTATTAATGGTTAATAAGTCGTTTACTAATGCTGTAGATGAGCCATTAACAAGACTAACCTTTGGGTTGCCAGGTTGTGGAAAATCCTCCTCCACCGCAAAACTTGTCCGGACAACATTTGTAGCTGCAATTTTAAGGTTTGCAGGCATATCATATCATTATAAGTCTGCAGTTGTAATGTTAATAAGAAGTTTACTAATGGAGTTTCTCTAATTAATTAAAGTGGACCTGGGCAACTAACAGTTCCTTTTAGTAATGGTTTATACCTGTATATCTGTAAATATGTGCAAACTGTGTTATAACCATTAACAAACGCTATTAATTACCGTTTATAGTAAATCACTTAAGTCGTGCGTTACTAGAAAGTGGTACTCGGTTTTATGGCAGTTTGATTTCGCTGGCTTTCCGTAGAAAGGTGGAGTAGTCACGTGATCAAAGATTGCCCCAGTGGTGTTCCTGGAATAAACAAAACAAATGACAGCTGACCAGCGGACGTGGTTACCGTTTCCTGATGCTCGTTTTGATCTGTTGCAATCTTATTTTGAAAATATAAGCAACAATACAAAAAGCTTTGATCTGCTGGTGGAGTAATTACTAAGACAGCGTAACAAGCTAACAGCTATGCATTAGCCTAGCTTACTCTTGCTAGAGCGTTTTCGGTTGTGGAGCTCAGCAGAATTCATCAGCATGGTTTCGATTTCCAAAAAATGCATTCTCTGGATACTACGTTTGCGCTGAGAAACATGGTAGTTGTTGCCTTGCTATCCTCCGTTAGCGACATTTCTCAACGTGCCATACAAAAGTGTCATGTTTACAACCTCTGACACTGTTTATCTTGACAACACAGCCTGCTACTCACTGTTTATCACAGGAAATACCTCGGTAGCTACGCCAGCTAATGGTTTCTGGTTGTGTGTGTCCCATATACGTTTGATTGCTGTACGTTTTTACTTGATCGTTCAGTCGTCTGTTAGTGTGATCTGAGTTGTGGGGAAAGCTGAGGTGAGCTGACACTAACGATGGAGGCTGTAAGACCAAAGAGGACCAAGGCAAAAACCAGCGGAAAATCGCAGGTGATTAAACAGAGTCCTTCACAGTCATTATTTGCCTTCTTCTGCTCTTCCTTTTTATGGTCACAAGTGTAAGGAGGCCTTGTCTATTACTGGTACTGGTTTGATACAGGACAGGGCTCTCCCCTTCATCAGAGTTAAAAGACAGATACAAACACTCCTTCTCATAACTATGGACATTTTATAGTTGAGAGGAAATTGCAAGACCTGAAAAATATGGATAATTGACATAAAGCCTCTTAGTTTAAAAACAAATACATAAGTCTCCTTGAATTAAATGGCAGCGCTAATTACTGACACAGTAACATATTTTATTGTTTTTGCCACATTCATCATAATGTTCACTCTTTAGTCACATGCCCTTTGTCACAGCCCTGCCTGAATTTATCTCTGTTTGTTGTTGCATGACTTCAGCTGGTCAGGAAGCAGAAGCAGGCAGAGGAAGAAAAAAGAGCCACAACAACCTCGGCTGCCTGTGATGATGCCTCCACCTCAGGCTTCACTGACATTCCCCTCAGTCTTCCATATCAGGGGCTTGAGGAGGAGCAAAAAAACCTAGTTCAACCCTCTGACACCATTGCACAGACATCAGACCTGTCCTCTGAGAAACAACAGACCTTGTCCTCACAGGCCTTATCCACATCAGTGTTAAGTAAGACTTTACAGCCAACTCTCAGTTTGTTAACAGAGACATCGCAGGTTATAGAACATCTGAAGGAGTCAAAAAAGGAAGAAGAGGATGGTGGATTGGCAGCTCAGGTAGCTGAGCTTACAGTTGCACCATTAACCACTGACCCTGGAAAAGCTGCACAATCATGGAGTCATCCATGTGTTTCAACACAGTTTGAGGTCCTGAATGTCCCAAGTGCTCCTGCACTGTACCCATCTCTTTCTACACTGGAGGAGAGCCCTATGATACAGCTCTGTGAGGAAGCTGTGAAGAATGTTGCAAAAGGACCTGCAGTGTTAGCACTTCCTGAGCAGGAATCTTCGCCTCCAAGTTTGCAGCCTCTGGAGTCTGTAGCTGAACTTTCTAGAAGCAAGCTGTACCCAGAACTACCCAAGACAACACCAGAAATTCAAGTAATGTCATACACCAAGAAATAACATTAAGTTAAATAATAGATAGATGTGTGTGTGTTTGTTATGGTAAATGACTGAATGGGTTAAATTATGGTGTTTAATATGAATAGACCTGTTTATAGTTGAAGCCCACAGTTATGTGAGGTTGTCAGTGTCTTTTCCCTCAACCAATAAAACAATATTTTAGTTTTCAGTGTTCTAGCTTAGTGCATAATAATCGCCTCTGCCAGTTTGGCCATGGTCCACATTATTGGGCGATTAAAAAAAAAAAAATCTTTTCCTAAAACCTTATATCAATATAGATCAACATTAAGGTATTTGGTCAGATACACTGTCATAGTTGTTTTTGTCAATATTGCCCCTGCCCGCGTAATGACATGATTATTAAGTGACTATGTTTGTTGAGTCCTTACATATAAACATTCAATAATGTGAAATAATCCCACGCACCTCATGTTTTGCCGTCTGCAGCCATTTTCGCTGGAGCAGCTGAGTGTCTGGGAGCCAGGTGGGGGTTTGCAAGCTTGGTTAGAGGGCGTTGAAGTGTGTGCAGTCCAGTTCTGTGCTCTGGCCCGGCAGGAGAATCATGAACTGACTGAATTGCTGCAGAACTACTGGCGCTGCCGCAGACAGCTGACCCAGTCACACACACAGTTACACACACAGTCCTCTGACTGCAAGAGCACACAAAATCGTCTGTGGAGCTTCAGAGATGAACAGCTCACACTTCAGGTGTGTGTTTTTGGTTCAGTAACCAAAAATATACAGTTAAGAGAATGATAATGATCCTCTGCTGTCATAACATTTTAATATAATTTCCTTCCCTCCAGGGAGTGTGTGCAGACCAGTCCAAGGTGTGTGGTTATCATCGCTTCCAGCAGGCAGATTTCAGTCAGTCTGTCCTGGTGGAGCTGAAGAGACTGTTTGAAGCCCGCAGTGAGCTGCTCCATCAGAAGGTGGCACTACATGCATACACTGCTCTGCTGTCACGCCTACAGGTGGAATCATACTTGTATCGTCTACTCAGAGGTGAGAGACCCAAAAATTATACTTGCCTTTAAGTAGCCATTACAAACATGCCTCCTATGCATCCTACTAATGTGTTACATTAATACATTACAGTGCACGCATTACAGAATCAATTTTGTCTTTGTTTTTGTGTTCAGATTGTTCTGCTAGCCAAACACAGCCTTGTTCTCTTCAACCCCTGAAGGAAGCCATCAGCGTCCTGTTTAGCTTCACACGTCGAGTCCTTGACGACACTCAGTTCCAGGCAGACATCCATCACTGGCTGGAGAGATTGGTATACACACAAGCACTGTGCTGTTTTTCAAACTTCATAGTCTATTGCTATTTTGTTGTTGCACTTCCTCACACGGTTGCGGTCCACTCTGCAGGTGGCAGTCCTGCTGCATGTTGGAGGATCAGGAGAGCACCTGTATCTGCTGTGCCATCTTCTGTGCTGTCCTGCTGGGGTGGGAAAGTGGGCTGCACCCTTCCTTCAGGTTAGTTAAGGAAAACGTGTTTCTTTTATATTCATCATGTCAGTGGTTGAACATACAGATGACCAGAGTTTTCTTCGCATTTTCTGCCTCAGATTCAAGTCTGGGGTAACAGCTCTGGAGTGGCGCAGTTTATGCAGGCTCTAGCCATCCTAATGTCACCTGCCAGGTAAATAAGCAATGATCTTACCAACTGACTGGCAACTGTCTACTCCAGTTTTATGTGTTTGGTTTTCCATGAGAAACCCGGTGATACATTGAGGGTTTAATAACCTCACATTAATCAGTGACTTCTCTGCTTTGACTCAGACACCGTGCAGAGTTTCTGGGTCATATGAAGCCATGTGAGAGCCAGAGCACAGGAGCTTCTGGACCTGAGTCTGGCAACTGGACATTAGTGGATGAAGGCGGAGAGGAGGTAAACTGTAGGGAGGCAATGATTATATTTTCTGAAAGTAAATCAATGTTCCCATCACATTTCGAAAGCATAAAATTACTTATAAATGGGGGGAAACTACTACTGCCATACTAATGTTGCTTTTATATATATATAAAAAAAAAAAGAATGTAGCCTCCACTTTGCATTATGCCTTAAAATCTGTTTGCAATCTAAAAAAAAGTGTAAAATTGAGCCTGTCATGACCTAGTTTTTAAATAAGTAATTTAACGTCCGAATGCTTTGCCCTGCTGCTCTCTGTCTTTAGGACGAAGACCCAGAGAGCAGCTGGTTGCTGCTCTGTGAGGAGGATCTGATCTCCCTGCTGACCCAGTTCCCGTTCCAGCAGCTCTACTCACACATGCTGGGGATGAGCAAGGAGGGTGAGGGAGTCTGTCTGTTCTTCTGTCTGTTGGTTTGTGGCACTCATTGTATGAACTGGTGGACGACTCTTTGTTTCCAGGTGTGTATGAGCCCCAGGCCTGCTCCAGTCAGAAGATGATGCGTGTGTTTGCATTTGCTTCCTCTCTCATTGAAATTCTGGCTCTTGGTCTACAAACCTACAACAGATCGCGGTACAGACAGCTAGTCAAACGAATAGGACACATCATGCGGTCAGTGCACCAATGATATAAGCAAAAACTGTTCTCAGACTTATTAGGCCAAACGATAACAATATTACAAAATGCATAGCATTAAATATCCGTACGTTTCTTGTCCCCCTTTTCCCTCAGAATGACGGTGTGTTTGGTCAGCGATCACTGGGCCCAGTATGTGAGTGTGACTGGTGCTGATGGATCCAGTGCTCCTGTACACTCTCTGTCTCTGAACAAACTGCAGCTGGAATATGACCATCTTTTCCTCAGAGCTGTTTTACATGTACTCAGAAACAAAAGGCAAGGAACAGAACTCAAGTTTCCATCATAACTGGAAATTATTTATTTAATGGGCTTTTACATAAATTTTCTGTTGTTCTCTCTCACAGGCTAGGCATTTGGTTGTTTATGTCAGAGATGCCGTATGCAACTTTGTCCAGCTCTATGCTGTGGAAGGTCCTTTATGTGATGCAGTGTGCAGAGACAGCAGGGCTAGAAACACTCAGCACTGCCAGTGACATGCACTCCTGCTTTCAAGCTCTCAGAGGTACCAATATATGCATTTAAACTGCACAAAAATTACCTTTTAAAACTGAAAAAATTGGCCTAGTAGTAATACGTAGACGTGACCCAACAGTTTCATCAGTGTACTGAAAGCTGAAAGTGGCTTAAACACAAAAATCCCAAAACATTTTTAAAACTACTTATGTCTCTGTCATAGAACGAGAGCACCAGGAGCGATTTGAGCAGTGGCTGTGTGAGGTGAACAGCTCTGACGGCATCTCCCTCCTCACAGCACTTGCACACATGGCCACTCCAACCCAGCATTCTGACCCCGCCTTCATCACTACTATAACCCTGCTGATTTACCAGGTAGGAGAAGGAGACACAGAATGAAATGTGGATAAGCAGATGTTAAACAAAGCACATTTGGTATTTTTCTTATCTTATAGACTACATGATTTAAAACACAGTTGGCTGTGAAGGAAACCCTTATAGAAATCAATTTGTTAATCTATTTTCATTCACAGTGTAACATCTGATCCTTTTTTTTAACCTTAAATGGAGTACAGTTTGTACAGTAACTACACTGCTGAAGAGTGTCACATAGAGAAATAGATAAAGTATAAAAGGGCAGTCTCTGTAGCACTGCTTAGTACCTACCTTGTTCTTTGACATCTCTTTTCTTGTTTTTGCATCAGGTATCATATGTGAGTGTGTCTACCAGAGAAACATACTCTAAGGTAGGGAGGGAGTTGCTGGCTGCCATAGCAACGGCCCATCCCTATGTTAACTCTGTGCTCCTGGAGAGATTGAGAGAGACCATACAGACTGTAGGAATGGTTGGTATTGCCATTGTATAATAACGTTAAGGTTTGTAGCTGCAAGTAGTTCAGACTCCTGAGTCTTTGTTGTCATCTGTGTTTTGTGCATGTTAGGTGGCTTTGTACTTGTGTAAAGAGCTGCCTCTGAGTCTGTGGCGGCCACAGCCAGAGGAGGTTTGTGTGATCGGAGCCTGGCTGCTCCAGCATCCTTTGTCTGCTGTGGAGAACCGGCTGGCCTGTGTTATCCTAGAGGGTCTGAACTGGGGTCACACACAGGTAGCACTGAGAGCATTAACAGTGATGTCTCCAGTAGTCTTAGCAGCACAGTTGTGTATTTGTAGTCAGATGACTAAATGTATTTCCTCTTGCAGGATGGTTCTTTGGCCCTGTCTTCCTCTCTTCACAGTCAAGTGGCTCTGCTGGTGGCTGAAGCCTATCAGAAGTACCTTACTGACAAACCATACAGTGGCCTCATATCCGAGGGAATCCGACAGGTGACATATTTGCTCATTAGCTACGGGCATCCAGTCTGACCCAGTTTGCCTGTTTCCAACAAAATGTCTGTTTTTCTGTCTCTTGTTTCCCTCCCCTAGGTATCTTACCTTGCCAATGTCCTTCGTTTGGGCATGTCTCCTGAAGCATCCTTTAGTCAATGGGCATGGCAGCTGTTGCTGAGGCTGAAGCTCCATAGCAATTCCCAGAACCGTAAAGGAGCATGGTTGGTGCCTGCTTTGACATCCAGCCCACCTCCAGAGCTTACACACACTCCGAGCATGCACTCTGTGCTCAGGGCTGTAAAAGCAGGCATCCCTATTGGATGCTACTTGTCCATTGCCATGACACCAGTAGGACACAGGTGTGTTCTCACACATAAACTATGCCTAATACTTATGGTTGAATTATACATATAGTACAGTTTGAACTAAGTTAATCTCTTGTAGCTTTTTTCTGTGTTTTTCTAGTCTGGAACACTTTTGTACTGACGGTATTGGGTTGTTGAAGAGTCTGATTCAGTCTCACCATCTGAGAGCTGCTGTGCATCTGCTGGATAACATCCTACCCCCAACCTACCATCTCAGCTTCTGCCTACTCAACAACTCACAGTAAAAAAAAAAACATCCTTGACACACAGCCTATAAAAAAGGCCAGAAAGAAAGATTTTCAATATAGCAGCTACTTCATCTCCAACACTTATATTTGTTCTTGTCTCTCATGTCATCCCGCTTCATGCCAGGTTTGTCAGTTGTATCCAGTTGTTCTTGCAGTACGACAGTGTGTGTCCTCAAGGTGTGACACAGCAGGTCACTCATCGGGTAGCACCACTCCTTACAGGAGCCACCTATGGAGACAATGTCCGACTATTAAACAGTGTCATTCAGGTTGGTCAGAAAGAGATTTTGTTATAAACATATATTTCGGGTCTTCAGCCATCACAAAGAATTTTTTAACGTACTGGATACATATAATGGTTGGAAGAAAGGTGGAACATTAATTAGTGGGTATGGAAGAGAGAATGTGTGTCTTTAATTTGTGATGTAAATAGGTGGGAGTAATATCATAAGAAGAAAAAGCACTCAGAAAAATGCTGATGCAGCAAATAAACTGCACTAGCATAGGACCTGGTTCCACCTTTAACTAGTGATGTATGTTTTAGTCACTTCAAAATCTAGAAAAAAACGCAGAAAAGATGAGCCAGATTTTCAAACTAAAATATTTTGTAAAATGAGTAGAAGTCATTTTGTTCCACACATTGTCTCAAAATCATAGATAACATAAAAATAAATATGCGTCTCGTCTTCCAGAGTCATGTGGTGGAAAGCTCACAGCCCGGTCGTGTCGGAGCTGCAGCCGTCCTGGAGTTTTGGGTGGGAATTCTGACACAGCAGAACCTGTGGTACCGAGACAAAACAGTTCTATTCCTTATGGATCAGATCTGTTGTGCTGCATTCACACACCACCAGGAGGAGTGTGTGCAGAAACCGCTTTACCAACAGCATAAGGTGTTTACCCAGTTCTGTTTGTTTGCATAATGTAGGGACTCAGCGATGGGTCTCAAAGGTGTTAACACTGTAAATTGCCTTAGTTACATTATAGAGATTCATATGACATTAACAATAGGTCACACATTACAGGAAGTGCTAGCGCTTGTTGTTGTGGGATGCTAAAAAGTCACCTCAAAGCCATTACACTTTTATCCTCATGCAAATGTTCGGGCTGTGTCTGGTTTATGTAACCACTCTATCATTATTTATTGTATTTTTAAAGAACAAATTAGCATGTCTGCATTTATTCATGAGTGAAAGGTTTTCATCAAGAAAACCAGAGGAAGCCAGTACCACCTGTAAGGAAGGAATAACAACCATGACGCCTATTCTATTTGTCATTTTTTCCATTTTCGTAATTAATGCAGAATGCCTTGGGTTACCATGGAGATCGAGGTCTGCTCTCCTCCCTGGTTGGCTGGATTGCTGGAAATGCCACACCCTCCTTCATCGAGGGCCAATCACTCAGTGCGGAGGTGAGGGTTCCACAGATTGTGCAGGTAGTATTGATCATGTTAGTAAAGTTCTCACTCCTGACAGACTTGGTGGTGACTCTGTGTTTTGTAGGTTTGGTTTGCCTGGCTGGTGCTGAATATGGAGGGCTTGTTTGAGGAAGATTCTCAACTGAGACGCTGTGTTGAGCAAGAGCTCCTGACAGAGCCAAATATCTCTCCAGACCAAGCACTAAAGGTATACAGACAAATACACAAAGTTATCAATTTGTTGAGGTGGAAATACCAGAATTACTGTCATATGTAGCAAGTGTTCATGTTAGTGAGTGTTTGGTAGTCTGGACTATCCTGAATGTTGTATGTCGACAGTTTTAACACTATGTATGTGTCTGAGTCAGAAGGCGCAGCAGAGGCTGAAGTTGCCGGTAGCCCCGTCTCTACAGAGATTACAGGTATATCGCTGGGCGTGCCAGGCATTAGCCACACCCCCTGACCATCCACTCCTTCCTCTGGTCTGGCAGAAGTTTCTGCAGCTCTACCTTAGACAGCCTGGGCCTGAGTATGGGTACGGCATGTGCACACACATTACTATTTCTAGCCAGAGTAAGCAGGAAAAACACAGAATCCATATGAAGGTGCCATATATTTTTGTGTATGTTGTCCTTTAGACTGGCTGCATGTGGTTGTATCGGGCAAAGATTCTTCCAGGCTTCATCTCAGGCTGCTTTACTCAGAGATCTGAGACAGAGAACACAAGTGGTGTCAGACTTCCACCATGCTGCCAGTCAGGCCCTCAGGGTGCCCCCACTACACACTCCCTCATCCGACAGCCAGGGCGACCAAAGTCCCGACAATCCCTGTCCCCCATATCTCACCTCTCCTCAGTTACACACAGAGCTAGTCAGGTAGGCCACTGATGTGTGCATTTGACAACATTCCTTCCTGTTGTCAAGCAGATAGGAGCAGCCATTAGTATGTGAAGATCTCTCAGATCTCAGCTGATTGGTTGTCTACAGGTTGTTTGGTGTCTTTGCTGTGTGGATGGATGACGAGACTCTGCAGAAGCAAGAAGTGTACCTTCCTTCTCTTCCTCCAGAGTATGAACCACACAGACTGGCACAGGTCATGCAGCGGCAGCAGGTGGGTGTGTCTTCGTTTTATGTGTAAGGTTAGTCAAAGTTGTGGTGTATTATATTATAGTACTCTTACAATCTAATGTGCGTTGTCATGTTCTGCTGTAGGAAATGTGGCTGGAGTATGTGGACCAGGAACGTCTGCAGTATGATAAGAGGGAAGTTTTATCTCTGTGGGAGAAGGTGCAGAGTGAGCCAGCCTTCCTGCAGGCCCAGAACCCTGGTTTCACTGATTACAGCAGCCTAAACAATGGTACACAGTCAAATGTGTTTTTTTTTAGATCCAAAAGATTGTGTAACAGTTAGCTCCATGCAGTGTTAAAATTGGACGATGTTTAACTAACACTGACCACAAGGAGCACAAACACACACACACATTCATAACCTTAGCACTAGTTCTTTTAAATATGTACTGTAGGAAGGAATATTAATAATATATCTCCAAATAAAATAATCAGGTGATTTTTATCCTTTACCATTTCAGCTTTTTAATTTAGCTTCCTACCAGTTTGATGTTGTGCTATGTGTGTCTCTGTGTGCAGCAAGGGAGCGTATTCTGTCCAACTTGCAGAAGCATCCAGTTCCACGTCCAGCTCCAGAGCTGCAGCAGCACAAAGCTCCAGTGGCAGAGGTCCCCGCTGCCTGTCTCATTGACTCTAAAGCCACTGCCGAAATGCTGCAGCAGGACCTCAGCATTCTGCAAGACCAGGCCAGGTATACTGAGATCACAAAAACATTAAAATATTTCCACACCAGCAGTGCACACACTCATAGGTGCACATAAATACACAGAAGTCACTTGTTTATACAGACCCTTCAAAATGCATACAGTACAAAGCTACACCCTCATTCTGAAATACTTGATCTTGCTGTCAGGATTGCAGTGGCACGTGAAGCCCAGCAGGTGGCATTGGAGCAGGAGCTGCTGGAGAGTCTTCCTCTACTGTATAAAAACCGACCAGAGCAAGTTACTATGGCCCTGGAGTGTAAAGGGAAGGGAGGGCAGCCATGCCAGGGACCTGCCAATATCACTGTCACAGTATGATCAATACTGTAAAACTGCACGCTAGCCACATTTTTTTCAGCTTTTATCAGTTTGTTTCCAGCTGTATTAATTTGTTTCTGTGGGGTCTGTGTGACCACATAGTGTGAGCGTGTCCAGAGACAGGAGGATATGCAGACTCAGATTACAATACTGCGCAGGGACCTCAAGAAGCTCCAGACCGATGCCATGGCTCCTCCACTTCAAAGTCTGGCTCAGGCTGCTGTCCACACTGAGAACTTTATCACGTCAGTATGAAAACGTCTTGCCACCAAAAGAAACAACATGATGATTTACATCACAATAAATATAAGCACAATCATATATGAGTTAAAAAAAGGAATAGGTTTTGTAATTAAAACCGATGTTTTGACTCATGTATTGACAGGGCTCTGGTGAATATGTACAAGGCAGAGAAATCGCCGGCAGTGCAGCATGTTGGGGTCTCAGCCTTTTACCAGGTGGTCTCCTTTGTGTGTGAAGACACTTTGCGACACCCCCCAACACGCCAGTACCTCTCTTCCTGTGTGGAGATACTGGGACAGGTGTGCACACACTCACAAACATACTCGTACACTGTACACAGAACTTTATTTAGCTTTTTTCAGAATACCCACACTAAGTTAAATCATGCTGGAACCACAAGTGCAGGACATTTCTCTTACCGATTCCCCAGCTCAGCAAACCAGTCACCAAAGCCGCTTATGCATATGCACATGTACAACAGAAAGTCCCCATAAAAAAACAAGTCTAGTGTCTGTATATACACAGCATTACATATTATTCTCAACACATAAGCTCTCTTCATTCATTAATAAAACTTGTTCATGAATTAAACTGTGTTGTACTTATTGTTTTGTGTCTAGGTGTTTATCCAGGGCAACGCAGAGGAGTGCTGTCATGTCCTGAAGACCATCCTGGAGCAGAGGCTTCTTTGTCCTCTGATTTCCCCCTTCTTCACTCCCAACGCAGCACCCAATCAGCTCGTCTTCCTCTACCGTGATGTTGTGACATCTCTACAACCTGACAGCGCTGATGTCATTTTCATGCTACTCACTAAGGTTAGTCCAGACACAGATACGACACATTAAAGAAACACAGCATACACCCATAGCAGCCCAGTTACAATAACCACTTCTGCACCTTCCCCATAGTTTGATTTGTCCCAGTGGCTGAATGAAGCACATCCGAGGTTTTCGGAGCGAACCAGTTTGCTGGAACTGGTCCACAGTGCTCTCTGCGTCTGCGGCCGAGACCCCGAGCCTGAACTTCTCACGCCTTTTCACCTTTTCACCAAACACTGGACCTGGCTTTTATGCCACCACTTTCCTGACCACTATAGCGACTGCCTGCGTCTACTTATGACCAGTGAGTATGTGTGTGTGCTCAACTTTACTGAGACTTTAAATCTATCTTGGGCACAAGAGTTGACACGGTGGTGTACAATAGAACATAAAGCAAAGAATAACATAACAGATCTACAAGTGACTCAGTGTCTCTATTTTAAAAGACATACAATAAACTGAATTTAAAAGAACATATTAAATAGCGCACCTCTATATGTCAGCAGTACCTTTACTCAGAAAGCCACATTACAATTGCCTATAAAACATCACATAATGAAGGGTTAGATCACATCCGACTGTACACTAGTACTGAAATAAAGCCAGCTTGCAGAGAATTGCTTGAGAATGGCATTGAACAGCAGTATTTTATTTCTTGTGAGTTGTGTTACACATTGCTCCTTGTTAGGAGCATGGGCTTCTTTGAAAAGTCTCTTTGTTCATCGTCCAAGTGATTCACAGCGAACACATTCATTCCTTTAAAGAAATGCCTCCTACTCATCTTCCCACCAACAAAAGACTAAATTAATTAATGAACACTGTTAATGTTAGCTGAATCATTATGAGCTGCAAAATCAGATCTGACTTGACAGTGTCACTGAGTGATTTATCATGACAGAATTTGGTTTTTTGTTATGACCCCATGAGATGAGGTGATTCCAGATGGAGTCACAAATCAAATCAATAAATCAATCAGTTGGTCAATTGATGAAAGAATTATTAGCACATCTTGTATCAACAATATTGAGTTTGATGGTGTTTGATGTGCAGATTCTTCAACAAGCCAAGGTATTTTTTACCTTCACCAGGCTCGTCAAACCAGTTACTGAGTCCAGAGTGCTGGAGGGTCACCCTGCGAGAGCTTGGCTGCCTACCTCCAAACTGCAGCACCAAGAGCAAAGCTGAACAAACCCTCAGCACTATTGATGTCCTCAGCCGTGCTGCCGGAGCCCCAGCCTCTCCTTATAGATCGCCCATCAGCCTCTCTCCTCAGCAGGTAACTAAAGTTGGTGTTGTTGATATTGCACGTGTTGAATGCCATTCATATGCTGCATGTGATTCATTATTAGTTCATTGATGCTGTGAGTCTTTATCGGATGCTAACAGGTGGATGAGACAGTTGACTGGCTGAGTGATTACTTCCTGCGTAGTCGACTCAGTAAGCAAGACCTCCGCAGCTTCGGCCTCTACTCTGCCTGGACTCCCTATATCAGTGAGGTTGTTTCCTTCTGGGACCATTTGATTGGTTGTCTGATCAACGTGCATTTCAGCAGCTGTGCCAGAGAATCAGTGGGCAGCAGGAAAGTTGTTAGAGGTAAGACTTGTGATCATTCATATAGAGTTCAGCCTTTTCTTCTGTACATATCCTTTGTTGTTATCTGTGGTTATGAAAGAGGAATGTCTTTCATGCTCTCACAGCTCTGCAGGACCTACACAGTAAGATTGTGAAATTATTTAAGCCTTGGATCTTTCCTGTGGATACTGATGATGGCGGGTGAGTATAGCACATCCTCAGCTCTCAGGCAGTCATTGGTTTTAGATAGAGCATAACTGTTGTGAGCAAGACAGGGGTGAAATAGATGTGAGCACAGACAGAAGAGACTCCAAGGACAACAGCAAAGAAAATGTCAATACCCGTGTCACTGTGTCTCAGTCTCAAGTGTTATCCCTGGCTGGAGACTGATGCGAGTGCAGCAGGATGTCTGGTTGGACTCTATGCTCAGCACACTGACAGACTGCACCACAAATTCAGAGGTGGGTCCTCAGCAGGCCTGTGTTGATACCTGAATGAGGGTTTAAGTGCTGTTATTCTGTGCTGTTAAAGTTATTAAGTGCTGTTATTCTGTGTTATTAAAGTTATTTATAACGTGTGTGTGTGTGTGTGTGTGTGTGTGTGTTGCAGATCGTCTGCTCCCAGGTCAGAGAGGGGCTCTGTGGCTGTGTATGATGCAGTACTGTGAGAGCTGCACCTCCCCCCGTACACCTGAGTACCTTCTCTACCTGTACCACACACAGCTCCGCAGCCTGCCCTGGAGTCACCTGCACCCTGACACTCAGCTCATGGAGCAGCTATTCAGTGTGAGGCACTCTACCCTCTTGAATACTAATGTAGGCATGCATGACTCAGGGGAGCTTGTTAATTTCAAGACCTCTGGTCCGAGCTCCTATTTTTAGCCTGACCTCAAGTAATTATAAGCCTGTAAGCAAGCTCCTGTCTCTCAAGATGGATTTATAGAGGCTACTATACAGAATCTAAACAGGTTACAAATATAAAGTTATTAAAACTAAATCCAAATCACAAAGAATAATATCATAATATCATATTTGCTTATTTATGAATGGTAAATCATACCAAAAACAAAGGGATGGAAGTATGCAGAGTGAGGTAAAGGAAAACCATTTCCTTCCATTTTCATTATTTGAACAAAAATATTGTATTGATCATTTCTCACTTGTAGTTGTTAAACTTTTTATCCCAGCTATCTTCTCTAGGTAGATTATTCTGCAACCTGTGATGACTTTAAAATAACCAGATTATCAAATTAACCCTGCAGGTGCATCATACCCTGAGTAGGAGTCAAACATTTGATGTGTAATCCAAAGTAATAAATATTCTGAGTACAGTTAATTGAGATTTGGTTATGATTCTACTTTGAGTGGATTTTTGTTCATTGTCTTGCCTTTGTGTTCCTGCAGGTGGAGAGAGGTAGCCCCAAGAGCTGCTTCCTTTTTCTTGGAGAGGTGTTATGTGAAGTGAACTGGGTCAGCATCCTAAGTGACCACTTACAGACACCTCCGACGTCTACGACACATCCAGCTCTACCGGACACTGGTACTCAGAAGGAGTCACACACCATGTTGGTCTATCTGCTGTACATGCTAGTTCTTCTGGCAAAGGAAGAACAACTCCTGAGTCAGCAGGTGAGTCCAAAATACTTTCTACCTCAGGGTCCAAACTCTTGCTCCTTCTTTATCCATTCTTCATTTTATTCTTCTGCCTGTCCAGGACTCCCCTCTGCTCAGTCTTCTAGTGCAGTCAGCCTCTCTACCCTGGCATCAACTGGACCTGTCCTCATACCAGCAGATTCTGGGATATGTTAGCACCCATTACCCTCCCTCTTTGCTGCTCAGTGCTGATTCTGTGCCTCAGCTGCTGCTGAAATCACTGCGCAGTGCTGCAGGGCTCCACCCCCGTCCTAACGAAGCCCCGCATCAGGTGAAGCAGTACAGTGCTGTGTGTTTAACAAGTTAAATCACAGATTTATTAAAGCATCATAAACCTCCTAAAGTTAATCTAGAATGAGGTTTAAGCCCAGTCATTTATCTCAAAACACCACTTGTGATGTAGGGGTGAGAAGATGAGTATAATTACAGATGAAAACATATGCATAAATATGCAGTGAATGGAGGTAGTAGACACTGAACAGCTGCATTATATGGAGGAGCCCTAATGTCAGAGAATATCAGAATTCATGCGTGTCTTACTACCTGCACCTCCACTGCCTCAGGCAGATACATCTAGTGTAGAAGTGGGAGGTCTGGAACATCCACATTAAATTTAGACCTAAACAGTTCTGTTTTCTTTGCCAGCTCAGTATCACTTATCTAAACTACATAAATGTAACACTTAAATCTTTACCGTTGCTGCTGATATAAAGCAGTGAAGGAAATTTTATACACCACTTGAATTAGTTCCAAAGTTGATGAATATTGGCAAGATCTTTACGATTTAATTCACTCGTTCACAGGATGGCACCAAGATCCCTCAATGTGCCTACTACTAAGAGTAGCATGTATTATAAATGACAAAGTTATGTATTTACTGACATATGTGTTTGTGTATTGCATTCACCCAAACAAACAAACAACAACAACAAAAAATGAAACTGTTACTCTTGGTCTGTCAGGAGGAGACGCTGAAGGCTGGAATGTATATATGCTGGTATGTGCAGTCTTTGGTAACTCTGGAACAAGGAGGCAGCATCAGCCTCAGCAGCCTGGAGGCTCAGCTGGAGACACTTCTAGAGAGTGTCGTCACATTCAGCCCACCAGGTGAGCTGTCCTTCCTGCCATCTTTAACTACTCATAAGTAATCAGTTCTTTTATCACCTCAATCATTTATTGACTCATGTTTTTCCTCTGCAGAGGCAGGTTTGGAGCAGAGGCACATGGCATTTTGCAGGCTCTTCAGTGATGCTCTGACTTTGCTCAACAGAGTGGGAGTCTCAACTGGTGAGGCACTTGCTGCTTATGTCATCACCTGGCTAGACAGGAAGGGGAGGGGCTTTCCTATCCTACCTCTTCTTACAGCTTGCTCTTGCTGTCTTGCTTCGGTGAGGCATATGACTCGCATCATGGAGGCATGCATCACAGCGTACTTCAACCATGGTGAGCAGAAAGGGTTTTTTAGCACTTTATTTCACTGAGATTCACATAACACATTTAAATCAGATTTGTTCTTTTCATACAAGTTTTCCAAAACGCAGTTTCCCAAAAGGTTGATATAGTCCTTTAAATATCTCGCTTTAGCATAGATAGTTTGACGTGACATCAGTGTACAGTGCACGTTTCTCCTCCCAAGTGATGCCGTTTTTGTTTCTTCTTGTTCAGCTGAGGAGGAGCCTGTAGGGTGGGGTCCTGTGTTGGCATCGCTGCAGGTGCCTGAGCTGACAGTGGATGACTTTCTCTCTGAGAGCCAATCAGGAGGCAGCTTCCTGACACTGTATGCCTTCATCCTGCAGCGTCTTAACACTGAATATACAGCAGTCAATGAGAGGAGGATACTGGCTTTAATTAACACATGGACCAGTCAGGTCTTTCCCAGGTTTGAGCCTCTCATTGTCTCATTTCACTTCTAAAACTTCCATCAGTTTGCCTTGTCAGACATTGTTTGATAATGTGTTTCAGTTGTACTAACTAATATAAATGCTATGATGTGTTTTGTGTGTGCAGTGGTCCAGGTGATGAAGCCAAGCTGTTTCTTTGGTGGCACAAAGCACTGAATCTGTCAGCCGAACAGCTACAACCACAAGCAGGCCAGACAGAAGTGTCAGGAGTTGTCATGAGTTTGTTGAAGTTGCAAACCAGGCTGATTCAGCTGGGAGAAGAAAGGCTGAACTCTGGACTGCTGGGAGCTATAGGTCTGGGGAAGAGGTCACCTGTTTCAAATAAGTGCGCTCACATGCTTTTTATTAGTAAATCAAAACACCTGTAGGCCAGATAGAGTAAGATGTTCATTTACTACTCTGAATAAACCAGCTCTTATGTACGTCTACTGCATGTCTAGGTTCAGGGTGGTGGTACGGAGTCTGGTAGCATTTCTGTCAGTCCAGGTATCGTCAGAGACAGAGCTTCGCCTTCAACCCACCACTGACTTGCAGCTTTCTGCAAAAGCACAGCAAGTATGCAACAAAAATTCCAAATTCATTTAATTTGCTAACCAGTAATTATGACGTAAAATTTTTTTTTTTTTCTTTCCCCTGTGAATGCAGATGTTGGGGATGCTGGAGGCCCTGCCCAGCAATAAGCATTATGCTGAGTTAGGGGACCCTGTGAGGAAGGCTGTCCAGTTCATCCGCTACCCAGGACACTGTCTCAGAGATGCACCCCGACTTCTGGCCCTGCTAGCCAACCTCCTGTACCCTGACCTCAGATACCTACACATTATCCGTTAATCTTGACTTAATGTGACCCTCATGCTGGAGACTGGGAGGATGTTACACGTCAGTGGCAAATACAGTGACATTAAATAACTTCTGTACAGACTAAATCTTGCTAGAGCACAAAGTTTCCAAGTAATTGCACAGGTACTGAATTGCTTTTGCTACTTAATCAGCAAGAGCTCCACATCTTTATCAGAGAGGGCTTTGTGTGACACAGACTGACTGTGCGACAGAGCTCACTGTACATGAAATACCTTTTGACTGGTAATGTACAATGAAGGATCATAAAACCAGTCAGAAGCATAAAAACCTAATGATCTGACCTTTTCTTGCACTTTGCTTTCTTCTCTCATGTCCATGCCTTGTTGCTTTTTTATTTACCTGCTCTTGAGTGGACGTTGCACATGCAGTATTTATTGAAGCATAATTCATTGATTACATTGCAACACTGGCCTTCAGATGTGAGTTTCACACGTGCATGTGGAATCTAACAGAAAAACATTGAAAGGCCAGACCTTAAAATGGGGTTGTGGAACATGGCAAGAGAGCTAGTAGATTGGCTTCATTGCCTGACACAGCACATAAGGTTTGCAGATGATGCTAGCGTCTAGCGTACTCTACACATACAGGTGCCAGTACATATACATTCATACAGAAGCAGTATGAAGTGATTGTGTTTAGTAACAGAACATTTGCCGGTATTATGTCTTGTCCCGGGCAGCGTGGTGACGCAGTGGTTAGCACTGTCACCTCACCACAATAAGGTTCTGAGTTCAAGCCCCCTGCCAACCTGGGGCCTCTCTGTGCAGTTTGCATGTTCTCCCTGTGCCTGTGTGGGTTCTCTCCGGATACCATGGCTTCCTCCCACAGTCCAAAGACATGCAGCTTTGGTTGACTGGTGACTCTAAATTGCCTGTAGGAGTGAGTGTGGTTGTCCAAGTGTCAGCCCTGTGATAGACTGGCGACCTGTACGAGGTGTACCCCACCACTTGCCCTCTTCAGGATAAGCAGTACAGATAATGGATGGATGTTCTTATCCTGCCAAAAGTGCTTTCCTTGTTTGTTTGTTTTTTTTGCCAAGGAGATGTTTTTGTTTGCTCACCTACTTAAACCTTGTTGACCGTGTACTCTGGTTGTTTCATGTCTTTATTAAGTACAAAAACTGCAGTCTGAAAAAGCACACACACTAGATGACAAACTGACCATCACTTACACTATGCCACACCACTTGGCTTCCTTATAAAGCGGTATTACAAATTACTGATGCCACTGGTATTAATAAAACACCAGAGCTGTAATGCTGTTGAGCTTGTATGCAGTATATCTGGACATATATACACAAATGGTGATGTGTGTATCTCATTTGAAGATAAAGGCAGACAGTAATTCAGATTTATCAGTTCTCTACATTGAACTGAGCTCAGTACGGTTCTCACATTACCCTTGTCAGTTCACCACTTGTGTTGCTCGGTGCCATCTCAATAATAATCACGCTGCACTTCTGCAGCCTGAAGCTCACCTTATTGCCTCTATTGTTTACTGACTATTAATGTCAAAAGCATTTTTTTTTTGAGTCAGTGATCGGCATGACTGCTTCAGGAGGGGAGCTACAGAGCCAGACTGCACAAAGGAGACAAGACTGCTCAATAAAGGGCACTGAATGTCTCACTACTGGTTTTTATCACTTCAGCTCTATGATCGGGGACCATATGTTGTATATGTAGCTTCTCAGAGCAGGACAGCTTCTCTAAACTCCCTGGATGGGTGACGTGAAGACGCACCTAAACGGGACATTACTGAATCAATTTGTAAAAAAGAACAAGTGTGGGAATAAAACAGATCCAGATTGCAGTTAAAGACACAATACCCTGTGTAGCCTCTACAAGAAAACTGAACTTTGTATTCTCTGTGCATAACACTGCAGATGGTCAGACTGAAATTAAAGCTTCCTTGTCTAAGAACCCTGTGAGTACAGTGAGCAATTTGAGTACAGTGACTAATTTGACTGGCATTCACATCCTGCTCTCTGCATTTGTGCAAAGATGCATTAAATGTTTGCAACTGAAAGCAGCTTTGCCAAAGACTGCTCAAGAGGGGGTCTTTAAAGCTGTGAGCTTTTGTGCTCGTATGTACACGTACAGTACATCTACAGTCCTGTGACACTACCATGTCTATCTAGGAGAAAACCTCTCTTCAGGCAATGGTGGTCTCTATGGTTACAGGAAGGGTAGAAGTGAGAGAGGAGGTGGAAGGACAGGGTGTTCTGAGGCTGTGAGACAGAGAGAAGAGGAGGGGAGGTGGGAGATGGATTCAGACGCTCATGGCTGCCTCCTCCTCACGCTCGAAAACGGCCTGCGATGTGTTCTGTGAACCCCTTGTCTGTCGAACCCTCTCTTGTCTCAGGTGGCACTTAGTGTCAAACATTAGCCTCACTGGATTTTGCAACCTGAACTAATCTAGTGTTCGTACACACATACAGTATATACAGATACACGTGCTCAGAGAACTCACTGCTGAGATAAGAGTATTCCTGGCAGACACATCACTGTCTGGCAGATTCCCGTGTCACCATAGTAACCCGTGATCTGGTCAGGAAAAACTGTTCATAGACTTTTGTGGTGCATGCTCAACTCCAGAACAGCACGTGGATCTGTTCTCCCCAGTTATCAATGGCAAATACGATGCAGACATAAAACAAACAGTGTGCAGTGCAGCAGTGGCTAGTTATGTAAGCACTCCTGACAGTAATGAGCTTCTTGCTAAACCTGTGTGTTGCCTTGGCACAGACAGATGCAGATTTCAAATCACATTGTAACTGGTTGTCAGCACACTGCAGCCGATTTCAACGTGTCCCAGTGTCTGTCACAGGCTGAGCAGAAGACCCCATGTGAAAAACACCCCACTGGTGACCAGCTGCTCTTCTAGGGCAGCTGCACTGGTCCCAAGGCCCTCCTTGCTGCCAAAACACACACACATACTCAGCTGGACACACAGGAATGTCTATTTTTTTTTCTTCACAACATGTATGCAACATACTGATTTCTCTACATATTTGCATTGTTTTGAATGCTTAAATACATGCATGTGTGAAAGCAAAGTGTACATTTGCGTGTGTCAGACAGACTCCTCCACCAAGACACCCACCTTTCTCGCACCTCCTCGCCAGTCCGGTGGGGAGTGATGACTCAAGCTTGAATTAGTCCTTATTCTCTATTTTTCTCGCATTGACCTGGCAGAGCAGAAGCACTTCTCCCCGCTGAGTGTACCTGCCTGTGCACTTAACAGTAAAAGTCATCAGTAATGACTCAGACCTCCATTGGTGATAGAATATTTGATTTCTTTTTTCTTCTTTGAAGCTGGATAGATAGGCTGCTTGCTGATCTGCTGTTGACAGAACAGTCTGTCTCCAGAACCAAATCTCCCTTGAGTGAGGGACATTTTTCAAAACATGAACAAATGCTGGGATATCTCTTGACTGTGAGAACATATGACAATTCTGGGACCAAGAAGCTGAGATTACTATTGGTCAGACTGAGGAGTATTCAAGTAAATCGGGGGTAGAACAAAACTGGTTTATCACCCTGTCAAATGGAAGCGGTAAATGTAAATTAGGGTCGCACTCAGTAACAAGAAATCACTTTATTCTGAGAGAAGACAGAATGTTTTTGGCCTTCATCAGTGTCACAATCTCACAGCACAGCTGCTTCTTTAAACACTGCACACAAGTGAAACCTGTTGAGTTAATTAGCCTGCACCAGGTTGAGTGATCCCTCATGAAGCAAGCTAGGTTCTTAGGACACAGGTAAAAGTGACAATATGTTCTATCCTATGTATACCTGAACTCAAATATATTTTATTTCCTTTTTTTAATATGGACCTGTATTAAAATTGATTGTATCTTGTACATGTATGACATTGGTGCCTTTTAATGCAGCTAAATTAGACAGCCTATTATTAAGCTTTTCATAGGATAGAACATTTTGTCACATTTACCTGTGTCCTACTAGTTGTCCAGGGTGTACCCCGCCTCTCGCCCAGTGTTGGCTCGAGGCCCCCACGACCCTCATTAATATAAATGGAGTAGATAATAGATGGATGGACTTGAGGTGTCAGACCTCAGTGGGGCCTAATAACTCCAGCCTTTGTGTCAACTATATTCTCCAAATATATGGAGTTTCATTTAGTTTGGTGTTAAGTGATTTGTGTTTACCACACAGCAAACCTGGGGCAGCTCTTTTGCACCCCAGGCCCTACTAGCATTTACATGCTATGGGTCAAGCTTCATTAGGGGGTGGTGGAGGGGATTGGCTGAGCTTAGTTACAATCAGGAACAAGGTTATTGTTGGCATTAATTGTATGGTTCAAAAACTGGAAACCAGGATGTTTCTAAGGAGATTGTCAGTGACAGATGTGTAACAGTACTGATCTTGGTGTTGCTGCTGGCTGGGTGAGGTCAGGTATCAAAGTCAAGACATTCAGCTATAGGGACCAGATTGGATATTTTGGGTGTCTAAATAAGTTTTGAGCTAAGAACAAAGTTAAAGCTGTGGTTATTTTAGGGTTTGGTTCTCAGAAAGTAGGCTATGTCTTTACAAAAATATCAAATCAAAATGTGTGTGAGGAGTCATGTGATGACTCAGCAGTGTTTATATCAACCCAATACCGGCACGACCACACGAGCCCGCGCGCTTACGCACGCACGCGCCCAGGTGATCGTGCCTCAGTCACACTACCGGGACTCCCTCTCTCCAAATATGACTCTGATTCCCTGTACACCGAAGCTCACACTACTGACATGCCTTCTGACCAGTCTTACAGGAGGAGAGTGTTGAAACGATGCCACTGCTCCAGGTTGAATTCCCATTCTTCAGTCAGACTTGATATGAAACTCCGTCTGAGTGCATTTGTGAACAGAGCTTGAACAAAGAGCCCTGCTGGCTCCTGGCTGTGAGACACTGGGGCTGCTTTCCAAACTGCGGATTTTTAGACACGACCAGGACCAGGACCGGCAGCAGTAGGCTTGGTAAGGAAATCAATCTTATTATGCAATTTGAAGGGAACGTTGCTTAAATCTATTCAGATCTCCTGCTGCAGAAGTCGAACCAGGGAAACTTCTGATCATCAATGAGGAGTAGACACATTTACCGACCATCATTAGAGACCCGAGAACCAAAATAATGGCCATTTATTAATCGCCGACTAAACCAGAAGATCCTAAACTTAAAAAAATAAAATAAAATAAAAAAATTTAGCTTTGTTCTCTCTCTAAATCGTGTTGATTGCCGTCTTTTGTTTTGCTCCCACCAAATGACAGTTGCGGTGGATATGATGGCCTTACATTAGGTTTATGACTGGCTGAATGGGCAGTTGTCCGAGGGTTTCCATTGAAACGTAAGAGGCAGCCCGGTGTTTGATCACCGGTTATTTCAGAGCCAGTGATCCTCCCGGTGTCCTGACGTCAGTGTATAGGGACCCAGCAGTACCGGGGCGGCAGCCACTGAATAAGAGCTGAGGAGGGAGAGGGAAGCTGGATCATGTTGATCTGAATCTCCATTAACTGCAGAGCATTCCGGTAGGATTTCCTTTATTTGGTTTTCCTTTCTGTCTTCCCTTATCGTTTTTTCCGCGTTGCCTCGATCTCGTGTGAAGCCTGCTCTTTGTCACATTAGGCTCCTATGCACTAATATGGGAAATATCTCGGGTTTATCATTCGGTATAAACCAGTGGTTGATGTAAATTACAGCATAGATTACTTTAGGATTTGGGGCTGTATAGCGAACCGGTAGACTATCTCTTTGTCTGTAACCAGACGTTGTCTTCACCTACTGGTGCTGTCATGGTCAAACAAAGGCACCCTGTCCTGTTCAGAGGCACCGCAGTGTCTGGATAAAGGGGTTCTGCTGTGACAGGTTGTGTGCCTCTGCCCATCTGGCTTAGCGGGTAGATCATCAGTATAATCAGAAATCAGGCCAGCTGATTTAAAATGGATTATTCTAAGTATTGTGTATAACAGACAAGCTGAATGGACAGGGAGAAGCTCTTTCATAAAACAGAAGGGTATTCCTCTTCACTCGACTTTACATCAGCACAGCAACCACATCACCTAGCAACAGCTGGAAATGGGAACACACAGTGCTGGCTGTACTAACACTGAATGACGGTAAAGCCCTGGTGGAGAGCACTGGAGTGCCCTTTGCACCTTTGCCAGGGTATATACAGTTTCTTGCTCTGGGCAGCATCCGCCTCACAGGGGTACTTGTAAGACCCTAACAATAGCCCTCTGTCTCATCCAGTGACTGACCACGGCCTGAGCTGAAGACAGGGGGTCCCCCAGTCCCAAAAGTGTATGCGTGTGTGCAGCTATGGGGAAGGACTACTACAAGACCCTGGGTATCCCCAAGGGCTCCAACGAGGAGGAGATCAAGAAGGCTTACCGGCGTATGGCGCTGCGCTTCCACCCTGATAAAAACACAGATGCCAACGCAGAGGAGAAGTTCAAGGAGATCGCGGAGGCCTACGAGGTACTCAGTGACCCCAAGAAGAGGGCCGTCTACGATCAGCTTGGAGAGGAAGGTGAGGAGGGAGCTGAGGGTTCATGTATCGGTTTGATCCGATCTGTCTATCTGTGTCCGTGTAGGGTCATTGAGCGAAAGAGGTCACAGAGTCCAGTCTCCAGCATTTGATCAGTGCAGCTTTATGAAACAGGTGTTATGATGGATTAAGTTATTGAGATAGTTCAGAAACAGACTCAACATCTAATATCACAATGGAGGACTTTGGTGGGCTTCAGTCACTCAAGTAATAATTCTGTGTCTCAGCCATGTTTTTATGTTTGCGTATTTGTCCAGGAACATGTGTGTGACTCTCTACTGTTATCTTTGTCCACAACACTTAGCTGCTAGTACTTTACGGTCTACCTCAGCTGCTAGTGTAGTGTGTGTGTAGCTGTGTGTGTGCATGTTAGCTGACAGACAGATGGCTTGAGATCATTACGTGGTTGAGATATGAATAGCAGCAACTGCTGTAGTTTGCATTTGTGGGTGTTCTGTGCATGCGTCTCTGTTGTGTCAGTGTGTTGGATGGAGTGATCTGGTATTTTATGAGGTTCTCCACCACCAGGGCTGTTGGAAGATCATTAATGCTGTGGGTTTTTCCCACCCACGTGGGCTCCACTCTGGTATCTGAGTTCATATTAATGTGTACTTTCAGTTGGTGGATGTTTGAGTGTGTGCACGTCCATATGAGCTCTCACATTGCTCTCTCTCTTTTTTGTCTCTCAGGATTGAAGACTGGAGGCAGTAGCTCTTCAGGTGCTCCTGGCAGTTCAACATACCACTACACCTTCCATGGAGACCCCCATGCTACCTTCGCCTCCTTCTTTGGTGGCTCCAACCCCTTTGACATGTTTTTTGGCTCTAACCGCAGCCACAGCCGCAACAATGGCTTCCCCTTCCACAACGACCACAGCAATGATGCAGAGCAGGACATGGACATGGATGAGGACGACCCCTTTGCTCATTTTGGAAGACAGTTTGGCTTCCCAGGAGGGATAAACAACGGCTTCCCAGGGGAGGGTCGCAGGAGGATGGGGGTGCCATCAGAACGCTTGGGAACCGGTCGAAAGCAACAGGACCCTCCGGTGGTTCATGAGCTGAAGGTCTCGCTGGAAGAGATCTTCCACGGCTGCACCAAACGTATGAAGATCACCCGACGCAGGCTGAACCCGGATGGGCGGAGCATGAGGACGGAGGACAAGATCCTCAACATTATCATCAAGAAGGGCTGGAAGGAAGGGACCAA